CGGACACCCCGTTGTAGAAGACACGAAGTCCACAGGGCTTACAAGGGTCTAGAAAAAAAAAAAATATATATATATATATATATATCATATTTGTTTACATATTTTTTTTCTTTTTAATAAATGTGAAGTTTCCCACAATTCTTTGTCATTTTAAGGTCAGTGTTGAATTATAGAATTGATAAAACAGGAGTTTAAAATCATTTTAGCCCAAGGCTGAGATAAAAAAAAAAAATGAAAGATTGGACCGTTTGTAATCACGCACTGCGTATTTTGCAAGACCTAAAAATGCTCTCCAGAAGCTGTCGTGATGATACTGGAAGAAAATTCAAACTATCTCATTTGATTCTCATACAAAATAATTGTTTTGTTTTTGTTTTGTTTTTAATTCTTTATTTTCTTGTGTTTTTGATGGTTATGCGGCGAGATCTGAGTCATTTAGGCTGAAAGTGAAAGTCATTTGCGATTGGACAAAATAGATCCGGTTGGCGGTGCAGGTTTGGCACAGCAAAGTCGCAGCACTTGGATCGCTTTGTCCTGGGGCAGTTAACACATTCACTGCGACGGATGGCGACAAATGCCAAATATGCATCGGAACCGGGAGGGCCAGCAAGTGATTCAACGAAGTACTCACTTTTTTGTCAACCATTTCCTTGGCTGCTGTGCTTGAACATGCCAGATCCAAATTGTTTTCACCATTTTCTTCATCGTGCTGCCACTTCCGACATTTTACATGTTGACACTGCTCATACCGCCCCCTTTTTCTAATCGTAGAGGCCCTGCACGTATGAACATGTTTAAAAAAAAAAAAAAAAAGGGCGCAGAGCTGAAGTTACATAGCCGGTTTTTGTTTTATGACCTGCCTACCTTCTTTTCACAGAGCTGAAGAAGAGACAGTGCAAAGTGTTGTTTGAGTATCAGCCGCAGAACGAAGATGAACTGGAATTAAAAGTGGGGGATATTTTAGAAATCACCGAAGAGGTACGGTATTGTCTCCGTCGTTTCGAAGATGCAAGCGGGTTGCATCAAATCGACTCTTATCGTCTGCTTTATCCGACAATGCCGAAAGACGTTTTGTTTGATGCACCGATGACTGTGTTTGTCATGTAATAGGTTCCAAAAGGTTATTGCTAACCTTGTGGTGTTATGGCGAAACAATGTAGAGCGAGAGTCAGAGAGAGCGCGCACAAAAGTAGCGTCATGGTTCACTTACCGGAAAACAGCTTTTGCGCATTTTGTAATTCCACGAATATTGGGGACTTGATACCAAGTCATAGCGCGTTAAGCTGTAGCCGGGCCGTTGTCAGCAGTCGTCCCGAATTGGCTCTTCTTGCGCGCAGGTCGAAGAGGGTTGGTGGAGCGGCGTCATCAACGGCAAGTCAGGACTCTTCCCTTCCAACTTTGTCAAAGAAGTGGATGTCGCGAAAGAAGACGGAGACTCCAACGGCACAACCCCAGAAGAGGCCGGTATGAGGCCGAGAGCCAGCCAAGAGACCTTTTGCCCACTTGTCGCTGACATTTCCTCGTTTCCCCTCACCGCATCTCCTCCACAGATGGACACGGTGCGGAAAACGCAGTGACCCCGTCATCGCCCCAGCCGGCTTCAGGCAATGGAGCGATTGTCCAGCCCAAAAAAATCCAGGGGATTGGTTTTGGAGATATTTTCAAAGAAGGCTCAGTAAAATCAAAGGTCCGAATTCCCCACCTGGACACAGAAGACAAAAAGGAAAATGTGAGTTTGATGACGGTCGCAACACATGTTACATTCGTAAAGTATAGGACGTCCGCTTTTCAGAATACAGCTCTGTGTTGACTTGCTTGGCTTTAGTTTTGGAGGTGCTCAACTCTCCACATCTCGAAATAATAACCCCCCCCCCCCACCCCCTCCTCTCTCTTCTCTTCACAACAGTCATTGCACATATCGCTTGGTTTTGAACCTCTCGCTCTCTTTTTTTTTTTTTAACTGAGTTTGCTATTTCCATTTGGCATTGAATAGATAACATGGCTCACGTATGACCGCTCACCTGGCTTTTCACCCCACTGGCAGTTGCAATTGGGGTTTTCCTTTCGGTGACGTCAAAAGGAAACTTTGCATCGGTTGTCAACTTGGTGTGTTTTTGCATCGGTCCACCCATCCATTTTCTCAAACACCCTCTTGGATGATTTAGCTGGAGCCTCTACCAGCTCACGTCGGTTGGTTAGCAACAAGCCGGACAGTTCACGACTCACGACTGTTCCTCCGACCAGCTCTCGATAATCATGGCAACCTTACGTATTGTAGGCTAACTCAAAATAACCAGCATGAAAGTGACTATTTTTTTTTTGGCCTTTTTCGACTATTTACTGTATGTCCGAATCGATATGAATCATTAGCATTCCCCCCCCCCCCACCTCATCTGTCAACATGAATTCGTTGATGAGATGATGTTATAAACTCCAACCTTTTTCCAGGTGCTCCCTGTCACCCGTTGCACCAAATCATGCCAAAGTATCATCGTTTATATTAAGCACCCTGGAAAGATGGCGTATTTCTGTCGCAACCACGTTTACATTTTCCTTTGACTCCTTTGTTGGAATTCTGCTGCACTAGCTTTTCCATATGAAGTCCCTTGTCCATTTACGTGCCATCAATCATTTCCATCTTTCATGTTTGCTGCATTTCAGCCACTGCCTTCATTACCATCAGCCGCAAAGCCCGCCTTTGCCAACGTGACAGAAATGCAGAGGGGCGACGGAGAGAGCAACTCCAAAGGTAAAATACCTGCCGGCCTTTTGTGCATGTCGTGCTTTTTCGATCCTGTACTTCCTCTTCTCAATCTCCACATTCCCGACATCCAAAGCTAAAGACTTTTGTCGGGTCACCTTCGCTTTGGAGGCCACAAATGAGGATGAACTGACTTTGCGTGAGGATGACATCATCTCGATCATAAGCAAGGTAAGATGTTGCTCGGTGTCCGAATGCACAAGAATACAAATGACTTCAGGAAGTTATCATTTCAGCTAGTGTCACCTGCACGTTTTCAGACCCTCAAAACCACTAAATGGTCCAACCACCATTTGTTGGGGGGGTGGGTGGAAGACGCCTCAAACTAGCGACTTCAAATGCTGTTTGCGTGTGGGTAAAAAGACAGAAAAATTGGATGCACCAGGCCAACATGTAAACTTCAGGTTTTCCATGTTTGGGCTGGTGTGATGTCTCTGCACGAGGTGAACTCAAAAGAAAGTTATTTAAAACAACCAACAATATATACAGTACCTGCAGTTGCCAAGAGAATACGACAGAAGGGAATTCTGCCCTCAGGTGGTGAACGGTGTGATTACAATTTACAGTTGGTTAGATCACCTCCGTCGATTCTGACTTTTTTTTTTTCCCTCTGTGCGGATTTGGTTGTGTTCTTGCCCTAAAGGCAAAAGCTAAGAATTAGCGTGGGAAGTTGCTGCCACCAAGTGGAGTTATTTGGACGTACACTCTGACCATTTGTTTTTGTTTTTGTTTTTTTAATCAGTGGATCATTAATATGTGGGAAGTATCGTCTGGCTTCAAATAACAGACTAATATTTTTTTTCCACTTTTAACTTACTTTGTTTATTTACACACATGATTTTTAAGACATTTAATGACCACCTGCGGATGCTTTCATTAGATATCACTATGGAATGACTTTACTGAAATCCACATTTTTAATTCCCTTTCTTTTATTATTGATGAATCTGTCAATTGTCAATGGGTCACTTGCATCGCAATTGCGTAAGGTGGTCCAAAGCATTGTTTTTCAATTCGAATCTATTTTGGTCATGATTTCATTCCAGGAACCGTTTTCCTCAATCTTTTCAAGGGACAGTCGCGTCGTTACAAAGCTGCGGTATAGTTTCGAGGTGGCTTCACGAGTTAGCGCACTGCCGGCCACTTGTCTTCTTCCCCGTGTTCGCGTGTTTACCTTGTAAACTGGACCATACAAGTTATCTGTCGTGGAATCGATGGTGCGTGTTTTGACATTTCCATCCCCTTTCTGCGACAGGACACAGGAGAGCCCGGCTGGTGGCGAGGGGAAGTGGGAGGCAAGGAAGGCGTCTTTCCGGACAACTTTGTCGTCATGCTTTCGGAGAGCGAAAAAGAGGTAAGGTCACACAGCAAGTTAGTTCAATCAAATCTTTCTTTCAGGCCTTCCAAAAAATGGTTCCATGAAACCAGGGCTCGACCTTTTGACGACAACTTCCAAAAGTATGTTTGTTACAAACCAATAAAAAGATCAATGACCAATCTGTTTCAGGCTTATTTATCTCGAGGGTCGCGCAAGTCCTCACTGAAGCAAGACCCCGAAGAGGTAGGATGTCCGCCACGTCCGTCACCAAAAAAAAAACGTGCTCTTGAAGGAATGTGCAGGGCGACGTTGGGCAGTGAAGAACCCCGTTCGAGCGGCTCCACGCTTTGTTTGGGACGTCTTTCTTTTTCATTGACTAGTCGTCATGCTCTGGTTAAAGAATGCTCTTCTGCAGGGATCGTGATCAACAGTTTCACACGGTGACTCTGATCGAGTCGCCGGAGACTTGACTTCCTGTCGCTGACTTTTCATCGCTTCTATTTCTTCTTTCAGAAACCAAAGAAGCCCCCTCCGCCGTCAAAGCACATCGGTAAGAACCTCCGATACGTCATTCATTCCAAAGGAACTTGATCAAGAGTTGAACAAACTATTATCCTGGACTCCTTTTCTCAAAAAAAACTAGCGATATGTCGATTTGTTGCGCATTTGTATGACTCCGATGATGATGATTGCATTTGACACCACTGGTCGGTTGCCGGTACCTTCCGACATTTTTTTTTTTCCCTCCATGCTCCTCAACAGCTCTCAAACCAGAGGTTCCCAGCGCAGACAAGAAGCCTCACGCCATCAGGCCAGAGGACAAAGGTACGTGTCCCTTCATTCTCATTGGATGCAGTAACCTGGTGGGGGTCAATTAAGGGTCACGCCTCCACCGCAAAATGTCTGCCATGCAATCAAAATGATACGTCTCGACTGTTACACATTTGGCTTTTTCTTTTCCTTTACCGTCAAGTGTTTTGTAGAAACGCCGATGCCTTCAAAAAGCTCGTTGCTATCATTGACATAAAACACGTTTTTTTTTTTTTTTTTTCCTTCATTTCAAACTTCGCCTGACAATTTGGGCATCTTAGTCGCTTTGCGTGGTTTTTACTCCACGACCGAGTCCGTCTCCAAATGTGTTTGCTCCATTTCAGTTGACAAGCCGGTGCCAGATCCAAAACCACACAAGCCCGCGGCCCCGCTCCCACCCAAAAAGCCCGTCCCGCCTCCTGGCAAAGGCAAACCGGGAAACCTGCCACCCAAGCGGCCAGACAAGCCTCTTACTCCGTCACCAAATTTGAAGTGGGTCCAAAATGTCTTCTTTTCTCCCAGGATCTGACCCTGGGGTGTCACGGTGTCTTGTGCTATTTCGATCAATCTCTGGAGTGATTTGGTTTCTTATTTTTTTTTTTTTTTTTCTCCCCCCCCCCCCCCAGACATAATGGGGAAGTGCCGACATCTCGTCCAAAGCCAGACTTGGACCTATTGCTTCCCCCCAAGCCCAAAACACCCTCAATGGATACAGGAGACAAATCCTTGGAATCATGTATGTATCGATTTTATTTTTCTTTCCCCAATTGCCATTTTCACATTTTGGGCCACCGCGGGACTTGAGCGCGTGGCCCACAAGCTCCAAAGGTTTATTTTTAGGTATTTAAATGGAGATGGAAAAGAATCTGAAATTGATTGAAGCGAGCAGGCCCGCTGTTCCTCCACCGACTGCAGAGTTTAGCGTTGGTGACAGATGGTGGGAAGGATCTGGGGAAAAAAAAAACTCTTCTCTGCTCGGCAACAGCGAGTCTGACAAGTTGTCACGATACAAGAAAATGCAATCTTTTCTTCAGTCGTCGTTCCTGTTTTCTTGCGCGAGCACCTTCGCGTGACGCAGGTGCAAAGTCCCGTTCAACACAACAGTCGCGAGTGCGAATGAGTCCTTTGCACTGTTCTTTTTGTTGCGCTTCCAATGTCTCCACCTGGACAAAGTGGCTCGAGTTTATTCGGGTGTTTTATTTAAATTCGACTCTACACAAACTCTGATCAAGTGAATCAAATGTTAGCTTCGAATAATCCTCAGACAACATTTTCTCCGTCGTTTGCCTCTGACCTCGTTGGCGTCTGTCTTACTTTCTCAACAGCTCTGATGAGTTTTGATGAGGTTTCCCCCAACTCAGAAAAGCTGTCTCATCCCACCGCTAACAGACCAAAGATCACCGGCCGCAGGTTGCCCGCCCAATTTGGCGGAGGACATTCGGTGAGCACTCACTCGACGCTCGTCATGCTCAACAATTACGCGTTGCTTAAATCATGCGCTCAAAAAGGTCCAATGGCATCAATGTGCTGAACTTTTGTACCTTTGTTTGTTTCGGTGGCTACCGCTGCAAATGACTGCATCTTCTCAAGGACACGAGTCCGCAATCATCACATTGATTTTCAATCATGCCCACACTTGGTGAAAGGCACATTTAACGGTTGGCCATCTTTCATGCCGAGGTGGCCCACTGCTTTTCTTGACTCCAGTAATTGTTCAGAGCTGATGCTTGTGTCGCTACATTTGAAATATCTGACAAAATCCGTATGTCATACGTGTTGAAATACGGATAATTTGACATTGGGTTTTAGCAGTACTAGGGGTCGTCGTGTTGTTGTTGTCCTTCATAAATAGTAAAATAAACCCAACCTCCCTTGTAGCCCAACAAGGAAAACGCCGTGGAGAAATCCCTCAAGTTCGACGAGGATGATGGCGCCAAACTAAAGCTTCTGGAACCCAGAAAGGTCATTTGGATTTCTTATTTACCTGCTTTTTTTTTTTTTTTTTAATCATACTCATCTGCATTCATATGTGAATGCCATACTTTCTTATCATGGACCTCATTTAATTGGCTGCTTTCACAGACTTTAATTGTGACCACTCTGTGCTCGGGGGCACCGCACGGCTTTGCAATTATTATTTGGGATTGATTTTCACCCTCTGATTTGCAACGGAACAATTTTCCTGACATTTGTCACTGCTCATAACGCACGCCCGGTGACGAGTGCGCTCTGAAGGTGAACATTACAGCTGTGGTCTTTCCATCTTTGGACATTGGTGGTTGTCGGGTTTGTTGAAATCAGCTTTTCCTGTCAAAAGGTTCACTCGTTTTAGCTCTCAGCCTTCTCTGGGAGAAATGTGCTCTACGGCTACTTGCTCATGTGAGGTGACTGCAATCATGATACTGTCAATGAGTTATTCATTTGACTGTTTTCACTTTTAAAAAAAAGTGTCATCATGGTACCAGTGATACAGCCAAACACGTGGCAGCGTGTCTGCTCAACACGCCTCTTATCACTGTTACTGATGACACAGCATTAGGAGCAACTTATTCACACTGCAGGGCGTGATGCCGTAATTCTGATGTCTAATCTTTTTTGATCTAATCGTCCACATTCCAAAAACAAAGGCCAAAATACAAAAACTAATGTGAACTGCCAACTTTTGTTTTTTTTTTCCTTCTCAAAGGTGTTGAACACCAAAATCTCCCGTATGAGGTCATGAGAGCCTCTCGGAGAATGAACTTCACTTTTTGCATCGGTGACGGATGAGCATTCATACTGCAGAAACATCGAATGCATTTCATTTTTTGAATGAATGATTGTTTTTTTTTTTTAACTTCAAAACAGTCATGCTCTTTTTTTGTCGTTTACACTTTCATTTCAAGGGCAGTCTCTTGTGATGCGAACCATTCTTTCTGGAGTTCATTTCTCCCTCTCGTGCTGTTTTGGCTCAAGTTCTCTATTTTCACTTATCTCATAGTCAATTCCAAAGTACTGAAATTAAATATCATGCACCCCCTCGCCCCAATCCTCCCTCCACAGCATTCCGCACACAACCTGTCGCCGCCATCGCACAAACACAGCGTGGAGGCCAAACCCGGCCCGGCGGCCGCAGCCTCCAGCTCAGAAAGCGGTTTCCAGGGAAGGGAGGATCCCAAATCCCAGTTGGAAGCGCTCAGAAGTCAGATGAAGGATCTTCTGCTGTCAGTGGAGCTGTTCAAGGCCCAGCAAATGTAATTCTTTGATAGCGTCAGTACACCACAAACTTGTGAGCTTGCGGAAATGAAGGACGACCGAGTTTCTCTTTCGGAGGCATCTTAAGATGCAGGTCGCTTTTATAAACTTAAGTGCCGGTATGACTTCATTCACCGTCCACATAATAAGCTGATCTCGCAAAGAGCAGCGATTGGAACAATAGCCGACACATTTGGCGTAGACTAAGGCAATAAATTGAAATTCACATTTGGCTACGGTCGTGCCATGCTGACGTGGATGTGAAAATGCAGTTGGCAAGTCATTGCGAGTTTCCTTCTCAAATCCACAAACGACATCTTTCGGGAGCTTTGGGGGTACACTCGTTTGCTCATTAAAATATATTTTTTGTGCCTATTTCTAGGAAAGAAATAACAGAGCTTCGCGGAGAGCTGGATGAGGAAAGGCAAAAGCGTGTCGCCCTGCAGGTAGTATCGATCCCCTGAACAACATACGCCGCCTTCTCCGCATGGAGCACGCTCTTGAGATCAAGCCACATATTGACGGCCTCGCCGACAGCCACAAACAACATTTACGCACACTTTGCAAACACTTGTCGCACTCGCACCAAAGAAATCCAAAATCCTGGCAAAGAAGTTGAAGCAAGACAATGGCTCAGAGCGTTGGTCTAAACCTCGGTTCTGAGCGCTTTGCATTCCGTGTCCTCTCAGATGGAGCTCGATAAGCTAAAGATGGCTGTCCACTCAACGTGAAGCTGAGCTCGGGGCAGGGAGCTCAAGGTCCAGCTTTCGAGCCTGACGACCAACGAGAGAGCCGGGTTTTGGGGGGACGGCGGCGACGGCGGGCAGCGGGAGGACGACGACCAACAGACAGTTGAATGGGCAGAGAGACGGTGCAATCATTTTCACATCTACAAATTAACCTCCCCGTATTTGTAAGATTGAATTTTTTGCACATATTTTGTTTTAAATCTCGATGAAATTAAATTACAAATGTATATGATAATTTTTTTTTTTTGCCAACACAAAAAAAAAAAAACGAGGCCTTACTTTAAACTACTGTGCTCACGCGCATGTGTTTTGTCTTTTCCATTCCCTCCCGCGCTTCTCAAACGGCCTCACGACAGAGGGTCGCTCTCAGTACTACTGACTCTATACAAAGCAGAGGATCCTTGTTTTCGCCACCTAATTTTCTCGCGCAACTTTTCAAAGCGTTCTTTTTCATTTCGTCCTCAGGACAGATCATCCCCCCCCCCCCTCCTCTTAACAAGGCGCCTGCTGTAGCTGGAATTGAATCGTTCTTTTGCAGCGTCCCAGAGGAAGCTGACTCTCTTCTATATTTGTCCGCTCTTTTTGGATGCATTTTCTAGCATTCCTATCCAGGGAAACACTACTGTGCCTGTCAAAAAAAAAAAAAAAAATTGTACGTGTCGTTCTGGGAGCTTAACATTTACCCCAACGGAGTCTGAAAATATCCCATCTCGATATTGTGTATGTATATTTTTTTAAACTCTACCGACATGCTCTCGAGGGCCTCTTCTAGAGTTAAGTTTCACTTGAGACGAGGATTGTTCTCTTGAAATTTAGCTGCAACCAGCATGAAAAACTAAAGAAGGAAGAAAGGAGCAAAGTTTTTCTGGCTCGTGCCTAAGGATGTATATACAGAAAAGTCAGAGTCTCGTTTTCATCATCTCTGCGGCTTGCTTACTTGTTCTACTCAGGCCACCGTCCCATCAAATCCCAGGTGGTCCGGTCTACCTCTTCCTCTCGTCTATCCCCCCCTTTTTTTTTTGTTGTTTTTTTCAAAGTGAACAAAATAACTTGTCTCACTGTTTTTGTGGTGATTTGTCAAAAGCCTGTTCATTGCTCATCAGTTGTGTTTTTGTAAACGAGCTATTTGGGCCACATGGGGGGGGGGGGGGCTCTGATTTTCATGAGCTTATGAGAATGAAGTCATTTTAACGAGTGATTTTTTTTTTTTAAATGCCAAAATGTTAACAGCGGCCACGGTCTTTCGCCCAAAACCTGCCATGAAATTTTGCTTCAAAGCCCTCCTGGTGAGATGATTTTGGTCTGTCGTTTTTCATGGTGGCATCGAGGTACCAAAACATCAACTATTTCGTTGTATTTGGGGAAACTTAAACTAAATTGAAGTTGACAATATCCTTACAGCCACACGGGGTATGATGACACGTAATATTTCATCTTTATTTTCTTACGCTTAAGACGCCACCAAATGTGACTTCACATTTCTTTAGTGTTGATAAATTCTTGTTTTCAGGATGGCTCGAATACTTCTCGGTATTTTGGGTCAGGGTTCACATTCCAAATAGTGAAAAGAAAACTGGAAGAATACCGACAAACATCGTACTTTTGTGATTAAAAAAAAAAAAATGCCCCGTTGTGCTACTTTGTTCAAGACAATCTTCCCAAACCGTCTCTAGAATCTTAATTAGCAATCAGCTGGTTGTTTGCTGTTGAAAAGGGTGTCAAAAATGATTCCGTTGATACGCGTGGCATATCCAGGTTCCGACCCCCCCCCCCTCAAAAAAAGCTAACAAAATGGCTTTGTACAGTTCCCCAAATTTAAATTATGTACACTTGGTGGCGATGCCACAATGTACCGACGTCTCAGACCGCTCTGCACAATATTTTCTTCAGCTAAAGCAATTTCCGAACACGTTAGCAGGCTGCCTTTTAAGCAATAAGATCATCTAGCATGAGCTAGATGCTAATGATGCCGGGCACGAAGATGAGAAAAAAAAAAACTCTTGAAACACCCCTTTGGGCCTCCTGCTCACGTGTGCCACACGACCAAGTTTTAATTATGATCATTGTTGTTGTGAACAGTTTTTAAAAATGATAAACGTCACCAGTGTCTTAAAGGCGCGACTTCCAAATCGCCCGCGAGCTTTTTGTCTTTGTGTTGCGGATCAACTTGCACACTTTAAAAGGGCGTCAGTGGTCTTCAATTGTGTTTTCATATGAATGCTTTGACAAAGCTTGTCGCTGTCTGTCTTCGCCTCCGTGCCTGACCTGTCGGATGCTGTCTCCCTTTTCGCCTTTTGACGACACGGCTGCTCGATTTGAGAATCACATTGTGGGCAAGAGGGATCGGGGATAGCTGTTGGATGTCGCCTATGTACTGCGCTTTACTTTTCTATACTGTACATTCCGGAGATTGACACCAAGAAACACCGAAATCTGCACATTTACGAGTTTGATTTCTAAATAATTTTGTTTACATGAATTGTATCCTTGCATGAGCTGACCCCCAACCCCCAAAATATAAATAAATATCTATTTACTATCAAAATTGACATGCATATTGCCTCTGTATTTCTGCACCATGAAACTTGACTGGCATTCGCAGTCGTAGGACCATGTGAGACTCGTTTCATGCATGGAGAAAAGAGAAAAAAAAAGCATTTGTGGAAATATTGACTGAAAGATATTCTCAGCAAGGGAGAGCATTCCTGAGGAAATGCACATGACTACGACTGAAAGTTAGCCTTGTGTTTGTCTCACAGTTCAGAGTTTGGGGAGTGTTCGTGTTGTTTACTAGCTTGGGGCTTTTTCCGGATTCTCCGCACCGGGTTTTTTTCCGTCTTCTTCCCATATTGCAGAGATGCGCTTTGGGAGTCCTCTCGGTGACTACTTTTACAAACCCAAATAATTGGAATAGGTTTTGAAAGGCCACGTCAAAGTGTGTAAAAACAATAATATGCTCATTCGGTTTTTTTTTTAAAACCTGAATAAGTCCTCTGGGCTACCCGTTTTCTAACCTCAACATTGGGTCCTATAAACGCAATGTCCTCGTCAGAAAGTAACGTTGCTAAGCAACCTATACATTTTGTTCATCAGCAAGGTCGCGGCGGCGGTTAGCTTCCCACGGTTGGTTGAAATGAAGGCATTTTCACTATTTTGTGAGGGAGAAGAATTTGATCGGAAAACTTAAGTCACGTGGTCTGTGATCCGATTGCCTTTCTTGCACACCCACGATGACATCAGTGTCCCCTGCGCAACAAGAAAAAAATTGCAGGCCCCGCTCCAAGATATGAATGACTTCCATTGTGGTGATTCTTGGAAAAAAAAATATCTCATCACAATTTTCTTCATCTTGTACCGAGAACCTCAAATCGCAATCATGTGAGCTCGGCCGAATGACTTGTTCGTGTTAGTGCTACGGGGGCCAAAAATGCAGCAAAACTGAAAATAATTTGACTTTATTATTATTACGACTACTATTCTTAACGTCAGAAATCATTTGCATCTTGATTCGCATGCTTGACGTGAGGAGAAATGCATTGCAATTGTTGACAAAATATTTGGCACGTTTTCTTCCGATCAGTGCGAGTTTCATCTCGGTATTGAACAGTGTGTTTGTCTTTATCCGAGTTGTGTCGACCTCTTTAAAGGTTCACATTCCTGGCACCTAATTTTCCATCCTCTGGCCTTTGAGATCACCACATCCCTTCTCATAATGAACAACAACATGTCACAAGACAGGAACTGCTACGTTGCCCTTTCCAGCAGCGCCAAGTCACAAGAATGAGGCATTCAAGTTACCTTGTGGAGTGAAATGGCTCTTTCTATTCATCTGACTCACGCCTTCACCCGTTTCCTGACCGAAGGGTCAAATGAGATGTTTGTTGACGCTCATTTTCAGAATACAAGCAAGCGGCACCTGCGATAACACGTCTCAGGTGTCGGCAACAAAGCGCAGCACCTCACAGATGCGAACCCGAGCAACCGTTGCTAGCGAGAACTTAGGAATGATTCGAGCCACAGCGCCTTCATTTCCATCCCCAAAAGACAATTTCAAGAGTCTCATCACCAGAAGATTCACTTATCTTCAAAGATGAGGACCGTCTGGCACATTTCTTGACACCACTAAGATTTCGTCACGCTTTTGTTTCTGGCCGCCGTGAGCCTCCACTTCAGCCAAGTCTCAAGGGATGGAGTGTAAATGGCTTTTTCGGATCTTTAATCTTTTAGTTGATTGACACGATATTCCCCTTCAGTCAATGTCATCCTTTGATGGCAAGGACTTCTGTTAAACTGAGTAAAAGTCAACAGGAAGGATGTCATCTTTTTTTTTTTTGTAACACACAAAACTATCAAATATTAATAACACGCACACAAATCCCACCCCCCTCAATTTCCCCCTACACCTGTCACGATTGACTTAGGACCAGACCTCGGGCTACACTCACACACATTACATACATACATACATACATACATATATATATACATATATATATATATATATATATA